GCTCTGGGAAGCAGCTCTTCAAGGCCAGGTTGGAGTTGATCCTTTTGGATAACCAACTGGCTCGATGTGGGGCTTTGGTGAGGATCCTGTCCTCGTTGTTCCTCCAAGGAGTCAGCGAGTGCCTCGTCGCAGGTGTTTGAGCAGGGGGAGGTGTGGGCCTCAGCACTCAGTTGAAGAGATTTGTTCATGCCTGGCTGTGTCTTTTATCATCAGGAGTTTCCTGCGAACGACGTTTGCGTTTGCAGAGGGCTTGTTGCGTTTCCTGCTGAGCCCTTTGATCAGAGCTGCTTATCTGGGGACTCTGACTCACCTTCACTCAGCAGATGGTGGTGACGTTTGAGGTGACTGTCCCAGGGCCTCCTGCTGGCCCTGTGGAGCTGCAGGTGCAAAGGACCTTGTGCTGATGGTTCCACAGAGCGTCACCCCGAGCTTTCTCAATGGGACTGTGGGTTGGATCAGTGGGGGGCTGCTGTAGGAGGGTCGGGGAGTCCCACCAAGGAGGAGCATCTTGTTACCATCTCCATGGGGTATGCTCGAGCCCCTTATCAAAGCTCTGGGGATTTGGCCATGCTCGGCAGCGCCTGAACCTGATGTGCACTGTACCCCTCTAGCCTTGGGCTAAGCATCATCTGAGCGTGGTTAGCCCTTGGCAGGGCATGGCACGGGGAACGGGTGCTCTAAGGCACCTTGATTGATGGTTCAAAGAGAAAGCTGCCCCTTGGGGTGTTTTTTGAGCAGTCAATCTCTCCCTGTGGGCTCCCTGCCTCTGAGGAGGCGGGATGCGGAAGCTGGGGCTATTCATGCCTTTAGGAAGCTGCCCCAGTTGCCCTGTCGCATTGGGCTGCTTGAACTGTGAATTTTAATTACACTTTGGGATCAATACGGTGGCCTTGGTAACGAGCTCATTGCTGCTGCAGAATCTGTTTACTTCAGGTTGGTGACAGCCAAAGAACTTAGGTGGCCGAGGACATGATGTTCCAGCTTGTCAAACAGGCTGCATTGTAATTCGGGTGAGGCTCCCGCGGCCCTCCGAGGTGGGTACAGCTTCCCCTTGGCTGCCTCCTGCGGACCTGGAGTTCGCTGGCAGGACCCGCTCGTGCCTGGCAGAGAAGGAGACGCCTTAATTCAGGAGCTGTGATTTGGGTGGGGGTTGTGGGAGCCTGGTTTTATCTGCAAGGTGTGGGCGTAGGGAATAGCTCCTTCTGTGAGGAGAGAGAACGTAGGCAGCCTGGAAAGGAGCTTCCTCTGGGTTTGGCTTTGCCTTGCTGAAATTCATGTTTTGGTTTCCTCCTTCCAGATGGCCTGGGGTGAGGTTGAACCTGTGTCTGCTGTTTTCTGTCTCTCCTCCTTTCATCTCCCCACAGGGAGCCCCGAATATCACACATTTCTTGCACCGTGGGGAGAGGCTTGTATCCAACCTGGGCATGTTTTGGAGCGAGAACATCTGGCTGATCCCTGTTGACCTTGGAGCCATCAGCCTCTTGCAGGCAGCGGAGCCTGCATTGCCCTACATTAACCAACCCCTTCTCCAAACATCCTCCAAGCTTGCGAACCCCACAACGATGTCGCTTCTTATCCTTCCTGCCCCATTTAAAAGAAAGAGGGTTAATTGAATCAACTCTATTTGCAGGAAGGGGTCGACTTTGTTCCGACATGAGGAGTCGGTGCCCGGGAGGGTGATGTTTGTCCGTCCTGGTAGTGATTCCTTTGAGTTCTGAGCAGTGAACAGCCTAAGCTGAAGCCTGGGGTTTCTATTCTGCCTTGCTAACCAGATGTATCAAAACTGAAGTCTTTTCCAGGGCTGAAAACAGAGTTATATTGGTAAATGAGAAAAGGGCAGCTCTACGTGATGCACTTGTGGAAATACCACTGTCAGGGGCTTTTAGGGATTAGGCAGGGCAGGGGCACGGGGAGGATGCATTTCCAATTTTCCAGTTGCACAGCTGTATTTCCTGGCTCTCTGAGATGTATTTCAAACAGGCTGCTCCTGTTTTGATGCTGATCCTGCCGGGTGTTTCCCCTTAGAGCCGTGGCATAGGGATGGAGGGTCTTCGAGGTGTAGCTGAGAGTAGCTGGAGTCTCTCCTGGGGGGTGGTTGCTGTGTTGGTCTCTTGAAAGACCAAAAGAGGTCTTGAAATGCTTTGATTCTGCAAGCCAGTTCTGGGGGAGAAAAGGAGGCAGGTGGGGCACCGGGGTGCCGGGTAGGCTGATCCCTCCCCAGAAACACAAGGGCTGCTTTAGTATTACAGAGGAGAGGTTTGGGTTTTTCAATTTGTTTTTGTGTCTAACCCTTGCGTCAGACCCATGTGGTGGAGCTGAATGAGCCCTCTGACAGCACTTCCAAGTGTTCCCTTGGTCTTGCACAGCTGTGGTTGTAGAGGAGTTTTCTAATTAATTTAAAAATTGCTGCTAACTAAAGATGATTCCCCATCAGCTATGACACACAAATACATTTCCACGAGTTTCCAGCTCCGAAGCAGTCAGCCTGCCCGTTTGAGGCCGTTCGTCCCTTGTTTGTCTATCAAGCGGCTGCGAATGACTTAACCCACAGTCCTGTCCCTGCAGTGCTCCCAGCAAGGTAACTCCAGTTAATACCCATTACCTTATTGCCCAAACACTTGCTCTGCCACAGGCACACTGCTGGATGGGCACCACAGATGAATTCATTGGCAAGAAGTCTGGGATGTCTTTAAACCCATCGTGGCCACCTCTGCACCCATTAAAGATTTCCTCTGGGCTGTGCTTCCCCTATTTCCAAGTCTCTCCTCCACATACCTTAATATCTCCAGGCTGTCTGATGCGGGGGGAGATGTGTGTGTGAGCTAATGATCCGGCAAACCAAGCTGATTGCTTTTGTGCTGCCGAAAGCACTGTTTCCCCATCCGGGTAGCCGTGCTGGGTTCGTAGGGTTAACCTGATGGGAGTTCAGTGCCCTTAAAGATCCCAGCTCTCAAACCTTTGCTGATCCAGCTGTGAAGGAGATAGCCCTCTGCACTCCAGCCGGGAGCAAGCCTTTGCCTCAATTCCCGCAGTCCAAGGAGTGGTGCCTTATCTGCTGGTGGGGAGCTTTCCCTCTGCTCTTGCTGGAGGCAGTGCACCTTTGACCCCAAGGTGTTTATAAGGCAGTAGTTATTCCCAGTTACTATTTAACAGCTGGGCACTCAAAATCACATTTATTTTATTTAATCCCGCCTTCTGTTTATTTTTCCTTTAACTAGCATTTACAGTGATTCCCATGATGACGGAGATCTTGCTGTGGTTTCCAGCCTATTAATCTTTGGAATGGGCCCATTTCTTTCCGGGTGTTTCTTCTTCTCTGCTGAGCTTTGGGATTTGTGTGAAAGTCCTTAATTCTCCTCTTGTACTCATGGAAACGTTTTTTCTGCCCCCACCAGTGCTTTACCCAGCCAGCCCTCCTCTGCTAGTGAAGGATGGAGGTTGGTATCAGGGCTTGGCCGGTTTACTTTGCCAGGACCTAAGTGCTCTTTATTTCCTTGTTGGGAGCGGTGTAAAGGTTTCCAGGCAGAGATCTGGCTGTGGTTCCTTCTCAGGGAGTCAGTGGGGAGAGTGCCAGGCAGGTCTCTGCCTCTCTAGGGAGGAAAAACCTGCCCTGTGAACCCTCTGTGAGCTACAGGTACAGATCCAAGCAGCGCTGGATTCAGCTCTGTGCTTTGATCCTTGAAGCAGAGCAGCACCCTCAGGCAGCTCTTCCCATCTGTGTTGTCTGAATGAAGCACTTTGAGGTTTTTTTTCTAAAAGTTTGAGTTGGGGGAACTGTCAGGTGGAAGTTGTCCTGTTGCAAAAGCCACACCTGAGGCAGAAGCAGGTCCTGTTCCTCCATAAAACTTCTCTAGCCAGAGCCGTGCCACTTGGAGCTCTCTCCAGGGCCATTGGTGCTCTGCCAGTGGGTGTGGAGGATCAGGAGATGCCTGCTGAGCGCCCGGCTGCTGACCTGCTCCTCCAGCATCCCTGCAGCACGGTGGGGCTGAAGCCATGGGTGCTGCTAATGCAGCCCCCTCCCGCCTACACCCAGCCTCGTGCTCTGGCTGGGGTGTCTTTTGCTGCTGAGCTGATTTGAACTGGAAATCTGGTTGTCCTCTGAGCCTGGCCACAGACTCCTGGGAATTCATGCAGCCACTTGTCATCTAGGTATGTGCTGTCTTGCTTGGCTGGAGCTTGGAGGTGGTAAAATGGAGTGGTTTGTGAATCATGAGGCCAAATCCACCTCAAAAACCTCCCCTTGCTCATGATATGGGAGTGGGGATGGTGAGCGATCCTGCTGCCCACATCCCTCTTCTCCGAGAACCTGAGATTTCCTTTCCTTCAACCCTTATGGGATGCTGTGGTCCAGGAATACTCCTCCAGGGCTACATAACCTCACAGCAGAGTTACATCCATGTCTGCCTTGCTGATTTCCACCCCAAAAATACACGTATCCTGTCGGGTTGTGGAGCAGGAGCTGCACCCCCTGCGTGCCTGAGGGCTGGGAGCTGCAGCAGGTTCCCTGCCCCTTGTCTAGACACTGTCCTGTGGGAACAGGGGCTTGGCTCTCCCAGCCTGGAAGCGGGGCAGAGGGGGTCTGAGGACAGCAGCAGCCAAGTCCTCTAAACAAACCAAGCGCCCTGGCACAGCCACGCTCACTGGTTCACGCGGCGGGACTGCTGCCAGCCCCGGGGCCAGCACAGGGGAGAGACGCTGGGAACCTGTGGAGAGTGGGCTTGGGGTGGCTTCAGCCCCTCGGCCCAAGCAGGGCAAATGTGGCAGAAGGCTGTCCTGGGTTTTGGGGAGGGCTCTTTTCTTCTGCTTGCGAAGTGTGGGGTCCCCTCTGGGACCTGCTGATTGCAGGAGCAAAGCCTGGAAGAGTGCTGTCCCCTCTTTGAGGAGGTGGCACAAGCAAACCTGCTGCTCATCTCTTCTTTTTGACCTAAGAATAGAAGAAAAGCCTCATGCTGGTCATTTTATTTTATTTATTATTTTCCTATGCTGATGTTTGGCTGGAGAGACCTCAACCCCTGGGAGCCTCTTCCCTCCCTTGCTGCTGCGTTGACTGAACGTGACAACTCGCTTCTGCAAATACATGGATTAAAACAACTTGTCCTTTAGAAATGCCTGAACTCAGCAGTGTGGCAGGACCCAGGTCCTCGTGAGAAACCAGCCACAGCTACCCAGGATGAAACGGTTCTTCTGCACATAACGAATCCTCAGCATTTGAAGCCTGGGTGTGAGAAGGGGCTCATCTCCAGATCTGCAAAACTCAGCCCTGGAACAAGCTGCTGGTCACGTCTTGTGCGAGTGGGGCTGGTGAGGAGGATGAGTGCTGATTTGAGCTATAAAGCATTTCTCGTCTGGCTGAATTTCCAGGAATGACAAAGAAATGATGAACTTAAAAGACAGGGCATGTCAGGGCTTAGCAGTGTGGGCAACCAGCAGTGCCCTCCTAGCCTCTGCCAGAGAGTTTTTGTTTGGGAAAGGAGATTAAATAAGGGGAACTGGCTGCTCTGAGTAGTCCTGATCTCTGCTGCTGGTTTTCTGCAGTCCAAGGAGAGGTCCCAGGACCCTGGATTCTTCCAGACTTTCTCCTGGGAGGGTGGAAGTGGGTTGGAGATTTTCTTGCTTTCCAGGCAGTTGTGTTGCTGTGAGAATGTGCTCTGCTCTGATCTTGCTGTTTCTTCCTGGGTGACTGCGCTGTGTCATCACGTCCATGGACATGGTAGAGGAAATTTAGGAAGCTGGATGGCTTTAGGTGACTCACTGCTTCCTTTTTATCTTGGGTGATGTGTAAAACCTGCTCTTGTACCTCCCCTCCCCACTCTCCAGTTACTCCAGGACAGAAGTGGATGCTTTTTTTTACACCACTGTGGATGTGCTACCCCTCACATTCCTAATGAAAAATAATAATAATAAAAAAAAAAAGGGTTGCTAAGGCAAATCTGGTGGTGGCAATATGGAAGCCTGGAGCTGCTTCCTAGCACGTGTCCTTTCCCCTGTGGAGCCTGTGCCTCGGTGAACAGGGTCAGTGGTTGGTGGGGCCCTGGGGATGGCTGTGAATTGGTGGATGTTTTCCAAAACCGCCTTCTCCTTCTGCAACCTGCTCCGCTGCTGCCCCCTGAAGCTGCACAGGACACAATTGGGGACGTGTAGCATGGTGAAGGAGCTTGAGCATTCTCTCTGGAGCTGTTTTGGGGATGGAAAGAGTTTTAAAATTCAAAGTGGGGTTGTTTTCTGTGAGAGGGACGTGCCTGGCTCATCTGTGCCCAAGGTAAATCCAGATGGATTTATAGAGTCCTCTGCAGCTCAGAGGCAGCAGGGAAACTTCTCGGTAAGCTCAGAAAGCTGCTCCCCAGCCTGACTGCTGAGGAAAAACGTAGGATAAACCATTGAGGATGGCACACCCAGCAGTCACGAGCTGCTGGTTCGTTTGGGGGGTAGCAGTCCAGATCTGGAATCTGTTTGCCCTTCATATGTTGTAATAATTAAACAAACGCGGCTGTATGTGCTGGGGGCACGTGTGCTGCTGGGTTCAGGACTGCCTGGCCACTGTGCCTATGCGTGGGCAGGTACCTCACAATGCAGGGAGAGGCTCGCTGAAGCCGATTGTTTCACTTCATGGTGGTTTTGGGAAGCACCAGACGGTGCAGGCAAATGAAGTGGCAAGTTTTTTTGCCTTGAGAGGGCCTGGGGGTCCTTAGAACCTCATTTGATTCTTTTTGGGGTGCTGTATCAGCAAGGATGATGTTCCTTCTGCCCGGCCAGACTCAGGGCATGGAAGGGTGGGTTGAGCTGAAAACGAGTGGCCGTTTTTGGGAAGCGTCAGATCTGCATGGGAATGAGCACAGTCGCACCAGGTTTCGCAAGGGGAGAAAATGTACTTCTGGCTTGGCAGGTGTGACTGGGAGTGGGCAGCGTTCAGCGTTGCTTTGCCAAAACTTGGCAGGAGGTGTTGGATCCTGGTGTTTTACTACTAGGCATCTCCCAAAAACCCCCCGCTCTACCAAGCCAGGAGCTAATGATTTGGCCCAGGGCTCCATCAGGACCCCGGCCCATCTCCTCCTGTCAGGGGTGGCGATGCTGGCAAACACCCCCGCTCAGTTTCTGTGTGGAGAAATCGGTGCTGTGTTGTTTTGCCTCCTTGGTCATGAATTCTTGGGACAAAAAAATATTTTCCTTGTTCTTAAAGCCTTGTGCTCCACCCGGTTGGAAAAACTGCTTCCAGCAGGATGAAGTTTGGGATGTGATTCGCGATCGTGCTCTCAGGAGCCGGACGGTCCCGATCCTGGTCTGCTCTCGCCGCAGCCAGCCTGGCTCCGGCCAGCCACAGCCGACTCCTCGCAGCCCCCGGCCGGGGATGCCATTCATTCAAATTCCCATGACAAGCCAAGGGATTACGAGATTTTCTCCGTTGCTTTAATGCAGCTAGAGAGTCCGGCACGTGGAAGGTAACGCAGCCGATGGTCACATGCGTCGCCTGTTGCCTCGGTCGCTTCGCCTGAACACAGCACCCCCTGTCCTTCCTCATCTTCCTCACGGCTGGTTGCCGGACGCTATGTTAATTTGCTGGGCTTGGAGGGGGTTTGATGTGTGAATGGTTCATTCGATTTGGAAGCTGCTTGCCATGTTTGATAATTTTAGACAGGGCAGATTTTGCTAAGCTGCAGAGTTTAGATGAGCTCTGGTAAAGCCACGGTGGGGATTACTGTGGTTAATTCAGCACTTGATTTCCTTAGCAGTGATTTCGCCCCCCCCTCCCTTGGATTCAAACCCCCGGTTTATAGAACTGCTATTTCTCTTCAAAACTGTGCCTTGGAGCTGGCTTAACACCCCGAGCCAGTCCCTTGAAGGGGATGACAGTGTCTGGTACATCTCTGTTGTCTTGGTGGTGTGGGGATGGTGTGGAGCTGTGAAGCGCAGCAGCCCTCCATCCCACCCTCTCCTTCCTATCGCATCCCAAACGAGCTTTGCTCCACGAGACCATCCAGGCAGCACGTTTCACCGCAGGGAAATGCTCTGACCTGGGGCTCCTGTGTCCTGGATGCTCTAAGCAAGGACAGACACCCACCTGCATCCTAGCCCAGAGCAGCAAAGTCTGAGTTATCTGGTTTTACCCTCCTGGGTTCACCTCTTCCCTGGAAATATCCCTGAGATGGAGAAAATTCCTCAGTTAACACTTTAAGCTATTTTAATGCCAACAGCTGTTTTACGGGGCATGTTTACACCCTCTGGTTTGATGAGTTGCCAGAGGAAGAGGTGGGCGCGAAGGGGTGGAAATCTTGCTGTTCTGAAATTACTGATTTTTTTTGTTTTCCCCCCGCCCTGGAAATGCCCATAAGCAATACACCAGCACGGAAGTGGCACAAGCCTTTCTTAGGCCATCCAGGAAAGATTGATCCAAGCAACAGACCTTGAACAAATTCCAGCAATATCATTCCTTGGTTGGGAAACTGCTGTGCCTGCCAGCTCCAGCCCTGTGCCCTGAGGACACCACTGCTACCTGCTTGGTGTTGCTCTGAGAGTGCTTCTGCACCTCTTATCTCTTCGTACCAGCTCTTCCAGCAGTGCTCTAGGTTATGATGTCCTCCGGTTCCTCCCTCTGCACCCAAGGACCTAAGCCAGTTGCAAAACCAAACCTGCGAACTCCCATTTAGCGTTCCCATTCTTTTCACGAATGCAAATTCATGCAATTTGTGTCAGAACCGCACGGGTGTCTTCTGGGAAGCAGATATCAGGCTGGAAATGTGTCCGGTATGGAGGAGCTGGCTAAAAAACTTTTAGCAAGCAGCACCCACAAAAATGCCTGGGATGCCTGCCTGGGTGTGGTGATGGGCTTGATCTGGTGCTAGTCTGTTCCCCTCTTCAACCCCCATGTCCTCCCTTGGGCTGAGCAGTGGGTTTCGTGTCCTTGTTTCCCCTCCTGAGCAGAATACCAATGCTGCTTTTGGCCCATCAGCTGGGTTTCCTCAGGAACCGTGGCTCCATTTTACAGCCCAAAAGCCATACTAGTGCTGCAGACACCCCAGACCCAGAGTATGCAGATTCCTCCTTTCTGGGCCAGATCATCTCAAGTAAATAGTTTCATTCGTTTACCCTTGAAGGCTGTTTCCCGCATTAAAGCTTTCAGGGAGCTTTTGGGATGGCTGTGGCATGGAAAACCCCTCCTTGAGGCCACTGTGGCCTGTCTCTTTCCATCATTTTGATTTCTTCAGGACTCTTCTGGAGATCTCCTGGGTCTGTGGGGATGCTTTGTTAATCCCACTCCCTGCAATGATGTCTCATCCCTGCTAAGTGGCAAAATTAAATCCTGCAGCGATGTGATCAGAGGGAAGAGGCCACGTTGGGGATCTTTGTTAGGGTCTCCTGCATGGCAGTGTGCCGAGGAGGGGGTCATCAGGCTGGATTTGCTGGCGCTTTTCCTAATTCCCTTTCATCTCTGTTGTCTTTCTCTTGCAGAAGCAGTAATAGGGCTTTTTGCTGGCTGATCACATGGGGCGAGTGCAGCAGCTGAGCAGTTTGGGGCTATTTTTCCCTTCCTTTCAGCCCAATGCACTTCGATTTGATGTGCTGGTGGTAGGTGCAGGAGCCTTAAGTTGCCTCTGGCCGAGAGAGGAAGGAGGGGTGGCTGTTTTAGGGCTTCTCTTACAATGGAAACATCTGTAACACTGAGGAGACTGAAAGCCAATGCAATGTCAACTACTTTTTGTTGAAATATTCTCTCTGGCTGAGGTTTTTTCTCTCTGCTTTTAGTGTCGGTTTTGGAAGGAGGTGCTGTGTTTTTAACCTGCGGGATGCTCTGTTCCTGGGGAAGGGCCTGGAAGCACCAGGGATCTGAGTTTCTGCTGGGACCACCCCAGCTTCCTTGCTGCTGTGCTTTTGGGCAGAAATGCGTTGGGACCAGTTGTGACGGGTCTGTCGGGAGCAGGGTCTCTGCCTGTGCGAGGCTTGTCTGGAGGGCTGCACAGTATTTGTGTTGTACAAGCAATCTGATTTTTCTTGGAGGAGCCTCAGGGAGTCAGAGGTGGGTTAAAGGAGATGTTTCAAGCCTCATTGGGTGTTCTTTTTGTCTTCAGGTGTTAAGTGTCAAATCTTTAACATTCGGGTGACAGAGATGATCAGGCAGAGGAGGGGGTTTAATTTCTGGCATATGTAGCCACTGATCTGTTCCTTGATGCATTTGATGATGTTTATTTCTGTGACTACAGCAGTTAAGGTGTACTGGAGGGACCCACAGGCCCGTATAGCCTGGAAAGAGGACATGCCGTAAGGAGCACCTGCTGATTTAGCACTTCTCTTCCTTTGCACTTCTCAGCAAATCCAGTTTGCAGATGACATGCAGGAGTTCACCAAGTTTCCAACCAAGACGGGCCGTCGGTCCCTGTCCCGCTCCATCTCGCAGTCTTCCACTGACAGCTACAGCTCTGGTAGGTGCCAGGCTCCTTGTCAGTGCTTGATCCTCTCCCAGATCTGGCATCGGTGCCGCGTGAACACGCTGCTCACCTGCTTGTCAGGATGCTCCATGCTGGATGTGGAGGGAATAATTCTGGGCTTTCCTGAAGCTTGGGTATTGATTACTAGTTGATAACCCAGCTATCTCTGGGTTGTTTTAGAGAACAAGAGTGCAGAATTCCTTCTGGACACTCACTTTCCTTAGGAGATTTGTAGTTTGAGCCATGAGTGTCTGTGCATGAAAGCTGGGAAGTGAAACGTAACTGAAACCCACCCAAAAGGGTAGGAGGTCTCTGAGACCTAGGGTAACACACCTTCCTCTCCTGGCTTTAGCTGCTTCCTACACAGACAGCTCCGATGACGAGGTGTCCCCCCGAGAGAAACAACAAACCAACTCCAAAGGCAGCAGCAATTTCTGTGTGAAGAACATCAAGCAGGCAGAGTTTGGGCGCCGGGAGATCGAGATCGCTGAACAAGGTAAAAGTGGAGCATGCTGTTTGTGGGGCTTTGTGCTCTCCAGAGACAAGGAACTGAGCCATGGCAATTCCCACAACTCTTGTTACAGCCTTGAATACCCTGTTTTACCCCTCACCCCCCCCAGATCAGCTGATGATGTGGGGAAGAGCAAACATTAACATGAGGCATCCATTTTCTAACAGCAGCAGAGCTCTTGCAGGGTTTAATGTTCTGGTGGCTTTGGATGAGAAACCTCAATGGGCAAGGATCTTACAACACCTTCAGAAACATGAAAACTGACAGTCCCAACCCTTCCCCCTGGGGCTTGTGGGAAGCTGAGTTACCATTTCCAGGGGGGTGATTGGGTAACTTCGCTTTCGGGCACCTTTTGGGCGCATGCTACCAGAGCCTAAAAAGATAATCCAGGCACATTTAAAGAAGCTCCTCTGAGATGTGGCAGCACTGTTCTCAGCTTCTTTAGCTGCTTCTCCTTGATGCTGTTCTGCTGCAGGGCTGGTGACTGTCCCTAGCTGCCTTCCTTGGGCAGTACCTTGTGACAGATGGCACTGGTGTTTTGGTCCCATTTTGGACAGACCTGCCAAGCCAGGGATGTGGGGGTTTTTTCCTTGTCTGTGTAACAACTATAACAAAAATTCTAGGGCTGGATGTAGCCTGAGACCCTGGAAAGGAGAGCAGGGCTGGCAGAGAGGGGCCTCTCTGGATGAAGCCATCATTAAAAGCCCTCTCTTCCTTTTGCAGACATGTCTGCTCTGATTTCACTCAGGAAACGTGCTCAAGGGGAGAAGCCTTTGGCTGGAGCTAAAATCGTGGGTTGTACCCACATTACAGCACAGACTGCGGTGAGTGGCTGCTTATTTGGGGTGTCTGGGGTGGGAGACACCAGCTTTTCCTGGGGGAAGAAAGTCTCTTAAGCTTCCCAGCTTTGGGGAATCCGAAGATGCACCTTCACATTTCTGGAAACACTTTGCAAAGGTTCTGCTGTGTGTGTTTCCCCAGGGCAATGTTTCCTGGAGCCGGTCCCCGAAGGGTCCCTCGGTCCCTGATGGGTCCCCGAAGGGTCCCTCGGTCCCTGATGGGTCCCCGAAGGGTCCCTCGGTCCCTGATGGGTCCCCGAAGGGTCCCTCGGTCCCTGATGGGTCCCCCACCGCCCATTGTGCAGGGCTGTGCCTGGGCCCCTCACCGCTGCCCCAGTCCTGCCTCTCACCCCGCTGTCTCACAGGTGCTGATCGAGACGCTGTGTGCGCTGGGGGCGCAGTGCCGCTGGTCTGCCTGTAACATCTATTCCACCCAGAATGAAGTGGCAGCTGCTTTAGCAGAAGCTGGTGAGTACAGCTGTGCCTGGGGATGCAGAGCCCTTCCAGCCCCTCCTGGCTCTGCAGCCTTGTCCCAGACAGCTGGTTTGAGGGGTGGTTTGGACCAAATATCTTCTAGGGGAGGGATAAACGGGTCTGATCCTGTTGTGGGCTGTGGTTTGAGCTCTGTGTCGCCCCTTGGCCCTCCTGTCCATGGCTTTCCTAAGCTGGCCAAGCAGGAGAGAGCTTTGCCAAACGCAGCAGATGCCAAGGATGCTCATCTTCTTCTAGGTGTTGCTGTGTTTGCCTGGAAGGGGGAGTCAGAGGATGACTTCTGGTGGTGCATTGACCGCTGTGTTAACGTAGATGGCTGGCAAGCCAACATGGTAATGAGCCTTCTTCCAGCCCTTCCTCTTCCTCCATGGAGTGGTCACTGCATGCTCCTCACCCTTCCCTCCCTGGGGTCCTGCTGGGGTTGCCTGGGCACCTGCTGGCTTTGCAAAGGCCTCTGAGCCCCCATTAAAGTGGGGGTCATGGAGAATAGCAGCTGGAGCTGGGCTGGGGGCAACCATGGAGGTTGGAGGAGCTGCAGAGACACTGTCTTGGGCTGGAGCAGCCTGGTGGCATGGGAGCTGCCAACGAGCTGAGAAACCACGGGACCTCTTTTCCCCCCGCTGGGGTCGGCCCTGCAGGAGCTGCCCCAGCTGCTCCTCTCTCGACACAGATCCCATCCACGCTCTCCCAAGGCAAGAGGGTCTCTGCAGGGGACCTTTCCCTTGCTGAAAGCAGATGATGCCTCTCACTGCCTTGCTGCATGGTCTGTGATCACTAACGACACGATAGCATGTGTCAGTGGGCTGTGACAGCTCCCGCAGCCTTTCCTCTCCACTGTTTGCTTTCAGGGCATGAATGTTGTGGCGTCCTTCTGATCTCAGCCTGTTTAGTTAGTGCTGCCTGTGCTCACGTTTCCAGGCTGCAGAGCAGTAGCGGGGGCAGAAAACCCTGTTAGGATCCATCAGCTCCATGCAGGGGGTAAGAAATCCTCTGTTTTTTGGAGGAGACCCCGAATTGCTGGCAACTAGGGCAACCCAGGAGTCCTGGCCCCCAGGCCTCTGCCCAAACAGCCCTTCATCAGTGCCTGAAGATGCATCTCTTTTTTTTTTTTTCTTTTTTTTCCCCTGTCCTGTACCCAGTAAAGTGCTTTTCCCAGTGAAAGGCCTGACTGCTCCATGCTTTTCCTTGCCCATTCTCTAGATCCTGGATGACGGGGGGGACCTGACCCATTGGGTTTATAAGAAATACCCCAACGTATTCAAGAAGATCCGAGGGATTGTGGAGGAGAGCGTGACTGGTGTGCACAGGTAGGACGTTTGGGAAGGCTGATGTGGAGATCTTGTACTGGGTTGCTGCTCTCTGCTCTGACCCACCTCTGTCCTCTTCCAGGCTGTACCAGCTGTCCAAGGCCGGGAAGCTTTGTGTCCCAGCCATGAACGTGAACGACTCCGTCACCAAACAGAAATTTGATAACCTATATTGCTGCCGGGAATCCATCCTGGACGGGTGAGTCAAGCCCTTCTTCCCCTCTGTGCTGTCGCTCACAGTGGTGGATTTGGCTCTGGCTCCTCTCGAGCAGGGATCGGGCTCTTTGCTGCTTTGCCCTTGCTGTGTGCTTGCAGGATCTGGTTTTGGGGGCTCTCACGGCGCAGCGCTGCCTGTGGCCATCAGTGGTGTGCGCTTGACTAATCCCAACACAGGTGTCTCTCTGTCCCCCAGCCTGAAGAGGACCACGGATGTGATGTTTGGAGGGAAGCAAGTGGTGGTTTGTGGTTATGGGGAGGTGAGTTCCGTAAGCGGCTGTCGGTGGAGCTGTGAGTCAGCCTCCCCCTGTGCCATCCTTCCCCTAGGCTCAGCATCCTGCTTCTTCCCTGTGCAAAGACCACTTACCTTTGATATAGGAGTAGATCAAACCTGGTAAGCGATTACCAGGGAGATATTGCTAGAACCTGCTGGGAGCCTGCAGAACAAGCATCAGATTCCCCAGTTTGCCTGCAGATTAGCTGGGCTGCAGGTATGACATTGCTGGGAATGCTGGCCTGAATTACAACTACCCATGGGTTCTCCCATCTGCTGTCCCTGGACCGAGTTCAGCATCCAGCCTGGCTGTCACCGAGCCTGTGACAGAGGAGGCAGAGGGGCAGGCTGCATCTTGCTGGTGGATAACGTTCTGGCAGAGGGGAATTGTATCACGAACCTGTAAATGATTCTGCCCTGGAAGAGCATGGAGCCGGGAGCTGACACCTTCCCTCCATCTGTGCGCTGTCTGCGTGGGTGTTTATCTTCCCGCGCTGCAAAGGGCCTGGCAGTAGCTGCAAATGCTCTTCCCAGCAGGAACACGCTTACTAATTTATTTAGACACCAGTGGAGCCCAGCTCTGCTCAACAAGAGGCTGTGTTGGCTCTCACCCAGGTGCTCCGGGGTGGCGTCTGATTGTCCAGCCATGAGTTGTGCTGGGAGCTGTAGTTTCCAGGGCCTGTCCCAAGTTCTACCAGACTTCTTCAAAACAAGGGAGTCCTACCTTCACTGGTGTCCCATTTGGATGTGGGTTGGAGTCCCAGTTTACCCTGCCTGGCTATTGTCAGTAGACCTGAAGTTGGAGGAGTTGGGTGATAAGTGAGGGGGTCTCTGGAGGTGTTTCTTGCCTGGCAGTGTCTTGCTGGTCAGAAAACAGGGATGAGCATGGGTACATGCAGATTAGCCAGGCCCCATTGTGGGTAAGTGGTGTGGAGAGACAGACTTCACTTTAATTTTGTAGTGAGGCGAGGGATAGAGTCAGAGGTGCTGTTACAGGAGCTCTGCTCTCCCCCATGCTGAAGTGGGGAATGTCAGATGAAGGGTCTGTCCCCCGATCAGTTCAGGACAGCTCTGAATGCCAAAGAAAGCCTTTGGCTTAAAGGCAAGTGGGGGGACGTGCATGCTCCTCCAGACTGGCTTTAATCTCTTGGAGGAGAGCTCAGAAGGGCTCCTGCGGTGCTGGGGGCTCTGCAGGCTGCAAGCGTGTTGGTTTTGGAAAGCTCCTGCCAGCTGGTGGCTGTGCTGGAGGGCTGGTGGCCATGGAGGGGGAGCTGGCCTTGCAGCAGAAGTGCCACTTGCTGGGTACATCGCTGAGCTGCTCCTGGCATGGGGCAGGTGGCTGGGATGAGCATCTCTCAGCCTGGGATGTGCTTGGGCTGTTTTAGGGAAGGGATTGTAGAGCTCTGCACGTCCTGTGTTCAGCTTCACGCTGATGCTTTGTCTTGGCAGGTCGGCAAGGGATGCTGTGCTGCTCTGAAAGCACTGGGAGCGATCGTGTACGTCACGGAGATCGACCCCATCTGCGCTCTTCAAGCTTGGTAAGATGTTACATGTTGCTTGTGAACATCTCTTTGTTTGCTCTCTGGCTTCCTTTAAACCCTGACAGAGGCTGAAGCAGAGCCAGGAGGATCTGTGGCTCATCTCAGAGAATATAAATCTTGTTGGGGTGTGATGGGGAAGGGCTGGGGCAGTGGTGGGGTACCAGGCAGTAGGCACCTGCCCCAGCTGGCTTGGGAAGGCTGCTCAAGGGCTCACGCAGGGCTGGCTGAATGCTCCACACATCGCCAGGCTCCTCCAACATTTGTGAGAGCAGGTTTGATGCCGCATCCTTTGTATAGCCCTTCCTCACATATCTGGCGTCCCTGGGGATGTGGAAGGGACAGCCTGGCTGCTGTGTGAGCAGCTGGGAGCTGCTGCAGCAATACAGCACCATCCCTCCTGGCCTGGGGCAGAGAGGGAGCAGGCTTCTCCTCCTCATCGTGGTCCCTCTCCCCCTTTTTTGCCAGCATGGACGGATTTCGGGTGGTGAAGCTGAGTGAAGTAATCCGTCAGGTGGATGTCGTCATCACCTGCACAGGTAGGGATGAGAAGGTTGTGGGTGAGCCTTGGAGCAGGCCGAGAAGGAGCAGTCGTTCCCAAGCGGGGGTCTCAAGGGTGCTGGGGGAACTGGGGATGGAGGACGCTTCGCTGCCACGTGCTGCTAATTTTACAAGAGCAATAGCTCTGCTCTGGCAAGAGCTTTTCCTCCTACCCCCCAGTCTGCTATTTGGCCACAGTCCTCCTCAGTCCCTGACAGGAGGAGGGGACATCACAGCCGTGTGTCCCAAGGGTATTTGGGGGTCTCCTAAAGCCTGGTTAATTTGTGGGACCAATGCTCAGTACTCATCCTATGTGTTTCTCCGTTGTCACAGCCAGGAGGGCGCTCATCCTGATGGAAGTTCATCTGATGTTGCCCCAATCTGAGCTTCTCTGACTCGAGCGCAGGGAAGGAGAAATCAGAGGTTTGTAGTTCCACTGCCTTGGGTTCATCTGTGCCCTTTCTGCCTGCAGGAAACAAGAATGTTGTGACCAGAGAACATCTGGACCGGATGAAGAACAGCTGCATCGTGTGTAACATGGGCCACTCCAACACCGAGATCGACGTGGTGAGTCTGCCTGCGGCCTGGACGGCTGCACCTGCCCCGCTGCGCTCCCGCCGTGACTCCAGCCTCTTCCTCCTGCTCTTGCAGACCAGCCTCCGGACCCCGGAGCTGACCTGGGAGCGGGTCCGTTCCCAAGTGGATCATGTCATCTGGCCGGATGGGAAGCGGGTGGTGCTGCTGGCTGAGGTGCGCTGAGAACCCTGCCACGATGTTGCTTTGACTCAGGAAATCGCTGTGCGCTGGAGTTTATAACAGAGATTTAACCAGGTGGAAAGGTGCTAGGAGGAGGTTCAGAGCTTGAGAAACGGTTTCTTGATATTTTATTTTTTTTTTACTTTTCTTGAGGCAGGGGAGGTATCGTGTACCACGTGCAGCCACAGAGGTGCCATCTGGCTCTGTTCTTCCGAGCTGGGAGCCATCCCCATCAGCCAAACGCCGTCTGCTTCTGGCTTTGGCAGGGTTCCCCACGCAGCAAACTGGCTGGGTGTCTCCTCTTCCCACTTGAGCTCTTCTGGCAGTAGGAGGGACTTGCTCTTTCTAGGGACCACAACATTTCCCTGCCTTAAAGCTAAGGGTTAGGGTGGAAACTGAGTCAGAGTTGGAATGCTCTGGTCACATAGGTGGGCTTTGAATCACTGTGCTGTGGTTGCCCCCTGCCCCGGGGAGGGGATAGAGGTGATTTCTGTCTTGAGACTCAATTCAGTTTGGCTTTGGGGACAAGTTCAGCTCTCTGCAAACTCCTCCTGCTGTCTCCTAGGGCCGTCTTCTCAACCTGAGCTGCTCCACGGTTCCCACCTTCGTTCTCTCCATCACAGCCACCACTCAGGTCTGTATGCCACCGGGCTGGGGCACAAGGGGTGGAGGATGCTCTGAGGCCTTGCACGAGCCTCGGGGTGGGGATGGTTTGGAAGAAGCTGGGAGCATGCAGTTGGATGGGTCCTTAGGATGGCACCACTGCCAGAAATACTGTAGCCACCACCTCTTGGCTGGGATGCAGTTAATGGCATGAACTCACTGCTTTGCTTACAGCTGGGAGAGCTATTAAATGGGCCAGGCTTCATGGCAGAACTCCTGCTGTGCTGTAAGCCAGTGGAGAGCTCCCTCAGCACAGGTTTAAGCTTACCTCAAAGCAAGACTTTGTTTTGTCTTTGGACTTCTTGATTTCAACAGCACAAAAATCTCCCCTGGGGTGAGTTTTGGGGATCTGGAGGTCAGTGGTTAAAATGCTCCCTAGCATCAGTGCCAGCTCAACTGGGCAGACACAGCTTATGTCTTGTGCTGTTTGTCGTGACTCTGCCTGTCCAAAGAAAACGGTGATTAAATTCGTTTCTGCTCTGAGATCTGCAGTCGGTGCTGGCTGTGCGAGCAGCCGAGGCTGGTGTGGCCCTTGGTTGGCGAGTGATGGAAGGAACATGCTGGGTTGGAAAGACAGAGGGGGCTGATGGCTGGGGGAGGACATCCACGCGAACAGGGGCAATTCCCTTCTCACATTTGTCGGTCCAAGCTGATGGGGACCGGGGCTTTGGTTTGGACCAGGCTCTCAGCTGCATTAACTGGCACTTGGGGGAGATGCAGTTTGATTTATGCTGAAGGAGTGGCTCTGGTTTTTGGAGCAATGCTGCCAGCTTAAAACGAGCAATCCCTTCATTTCTGCGTGATGCGGCAGCCTTATGGTTTAAGAGACTTAGAGCTGCTCCCCTCTCCTCCGTCCTTGTGCTCTGGTTTTCCCCAGGGTGTTAAGCTCAGATGCTGCAAACAAGCTGGGTGTCATCTCTCTGATCTCTCTGGTCCTTCCCCAGTGGTGGTGGGATTATGGAGACCCAGGGAGGGACATACCCTTAAGTAGAAGCCTTTCCTTCAAGGTATTTTGGAAATGGTTGCCCCCTTCCTCAAACTCCCAAACCCTTATCTGCTGCTGAGAGCTTTGTGCCATTGCGGGTGTTCAGTGCTGCCCAGCTCGGTGGCTGTCCCTGACTGTCCCCGGGCTGTCCCCTGTGATCTCTGCAGGCTCTGGCTCTGATTGAGCTTTACAACGCTCCCGAGGGCCGTTACAAACAGGACGTGTACCTGCTGCCGAAGAAGATGGGTGAGTGAAGGGAACCCAGACTGCTTATTCCACAGGCAGCAGTTTCAGATGTAAGGAGAAACTCAAACCTGGGCTGGAAAAAACTCCCAGAGAGAAAATGAGTTCAGGGAGGCCCTCAGAGGCAGTAACCGTAAAACATGTGCAGGTTGTTTGATTTATTTTCCTTAACCTGCAGTGTTGGCAGGTGCCCCTTATCCTGCAGCCTTCCTGCTTGAGGTTTTTCATGCAACCCTTGTGCCTTTTGGTGCACATCCAGCCTTGCTCAGCACCAGGGCTTGGGCTCAGCTCTGCTGTAGGCTTATGTGACAGTGAATCTGTGATGCTAGATGCAAGGACTGCCTAGCCAGACCCAGCATGGGGCCCTGGCCTTCTTTGTGCCATATGATGAGTCTGTCCATCCTCTCCCCAGCAGCATAGTGGGAGATGTGCACCCCCTGATCCCCTCTTTCCTCTCCCCCTTCCCAGACGAGTATGTCGCCAGCTTGCATCTGCCTTCGTTTGATGCCCACCTGACAGAACTGACGGATGATCAGGCGAAATACCTGGGACTCAACAAAAATGGGCCTTTCAAACCCAATTACTACAGGTCAGTGTCAGCTGGGGTAGGGAGCTGCTGTCTCCTCACCCAGTGGGTGCCGTTGGGGACATCTGGCACTGGGACAGTAGCAGCTCCCAGGAGCTGTGTCCCCAAGCACCCACGACCTGAGTCCCCTTCCTTCTCTTCTAGATACTGATGGACCATACCCATGAAGGACCAGACCACACAAGGCAACATTAGAGAGATTATTTTTAAAGATCATTGTTATTTTGGTTTACCTTTTACTTTTTTTTTTTTAAACCAACAAAGGAACCTGTTTTTACATTTATCAGTGTGATTTTTAAGGTCACTTTTTTTTTTTTTTTCTCAGTTTCACCCTTTTACGTGATCACATCTCTGTCTGATCTTGGCAGACAACCTGGGATTTGCTTCTTGCTTTCATGTGGCTGAAGCCGCTGGTGGTTCCCAGCCCTGGCTCCCGGGGAGGGTTTCTCTTTCCTGATGTGCCAGGGGCAGTTCATTCCTGCAGCGATTTTTTTTTTTTTAATTTTTTTTTTTTTCACCTTTCCAGCCTGCGTTAGTCTCGGCCGGGATCCCTGCAGATATGGAGATGCTGTTCTACCTTATGTTTCTTTCTTTGTGTGGATTATCTGCAACTTCTAAATTGCCTTAAAGAGCCCAGTTTTAGCTGCTAGATCAATGCTCCTAGCACTGTTTAGGAGCAGAGTGGCACCTGCTGGCCACCTCGCGAATAGGTGACTGTCCCCAAGCCTGGCCAAAGTCCTTGTGCCAAGGTGGCCCAGGTTTGGTGGCCGCTGGCCCAGGTTTGGTGGCCGGCCGGGAATGGGGGAGTTCACTGTTTCAGGGTGCTAATCTGAATTCAGACGGGGGTCGCTTACCCAGCATTATCCTCATCTCTCCTAGGTTTTTTAGCCAAACTGCACCTTAATTGAGTTAAAACATCTTTTGTTTGTTTGTTTTTTCCTCTTTTTCTTTTTGATCCTTAAAGAGATGTTTTAAGGCGGGGAGGAGGGGAAGCGTCAGGGATGCAGCTGCCTGCTGTATGTGGGTGCTCGCTGTGTCTGAGCGGCCCCATCTCCCACTGAGAGAAGCGCGGCGTGGTTTTAAGAGTGTCTGGGTTTTGGTTGTTTGTTTTGGGTTTTTTTTTTGGGGGGTGGGGGTGGGGTGTGTTTCACTTTTTGTTTTGAGACGGACGCAGAGATGAGCCTTCCCCCTACCCCAACCTGGGCCCTCTACACCACAGACCTGCGCAAAGTCCTCCGCTGCCCCGGCCCTCGAGCTGGGCTTTTTCAGCCCTTCCCTGCCCTCTCGCAGTGCGTTTCAGCCACTCTCATCGGTTCATCCCCCTTTGCCGTCCTCACTGGTGACTTGTTTCTCTTTTCCATCTCTTACAGCTTGTCCCAGAGCAGGGGAAGCTCCTTGCAACCCAGTGAGGTTTCTCTTGGCTTTTTTTATCCTCCCCAAATTGCCTCTTTCTTCCCCCAGCCAAGGCCGGAGTGTGAAGGGAAGGAGGACCCTCGCTGCCTGCATCTCCCGGTACACAGATAATGGAGATGTTGTGTACCTGTGACTGGGGCTGCTCCTTCACCTCTGGCCACCTCCTCCCACGGACTGGGGCTGCCTTTTTAGTGCTGCCTGGCTGGGTCCCTCCCTGGGGCTTTGCAGGGTTGGGGGTGCTGCTGTTTCCCAGGGGGTGCAAAGCTCATTTGTGAGGATGGGAGGAAGGTGGGAGGGGTGCTCATGGCTCTAATCACCCTCCTCTCTTCCCCTCAGTCTCCTTCTCCTTGGACTATTCTTTCTCACCCTGCCCGGTCTCCTCCTGGACTGTTGCTGGGTCACTTGCTCTCCCCACAGATTTTGGGGATCACCTGCCTTGCAGGGTTCCCTCTACTCTCCCTTAAACTTCCTGGGGGACTCAATGCCTGGCTCAGTGAGCTGGGATGGGGGGGGAGGGGGGAGTGCAAGCATCCCCCTTCCCTGTGAGGGGACCCACGCTGGGACCCCTGTGCTTGGGGGTCACGGTCCCCCCCTTTCCCATCCACGTTAGGGTCAGACCTCGGCCTAAGGGCTCCATCTCTGTATAAGCCATGTCATGGGGGGTGGGGAGCCCGGGGATGGCGGTGGCAGCGTCGGGCCGGGAGGGAGAGGTTTATTTTGTATATGAATGATTTTTAATGAATGCAATATTAATCCTTGCAGATGAGCAATAAATCATTAAAGTCTAATTAAACTATTAGGAAAAACAAAGTGATTGTGCTTGTGGGCAGTTTATTTGGAAGAGTTGAGCACATACACTCCCTTGGGGACCCTGGGATCGTTCTGAGATTTAAGCCCTGGCCTAGGCTCTGCCTTTGGTTGCCTCCAGATGGGCTTTTTGGGCCTCACCAAGGCCCTGGATTTTGGGGTCTGACCCCCTCAGAGCCCTTCAGGGCCCTTTCACTTGGAGTTTAAACCCCATCAGGCCCTTCTGTTGGGGTCTGGCTCCCCTCTGAGCCCTCTAGTACTCGCTCTCTTTGGGGTCTGAGCCCCCCAAGCCGCTTGATTGAAACATTTCACTTGTTCTAGGCCTCTTCCTGCCTCTCCCAACATGGCGGCCTCAGGCGGCCGGGCGCCGCCTCCCCGCGAAGGCGGAAGTGCCGCTCCCGACATGGCGGCGGCCCGCGGCGCGCCACACCTAAGATGGC